GATTCGATAATATCTAACTCACGTAATCGGTTATTTTCCCTACTAAACTTGTCCTTTCTACTTTTTCGCAATGAATTCAAGAATTTCAATATAAATCATTTCTCAAAAAGTACGAGAATGCAAAGCAAGTTGATATTTTCAACACAAATTTACATACGAATAAGATGGAGACCATGGATATTTACCAAATAACAGATAAATTATTTGACTGTAAAACCGTACCAAACTCTATCAGCCAATTACATCAGCTCTTAATACACACATCTGATCTGCACAAATAAGTATAGTGTTCAGATGTTTAAGCTACAAATCTTAAAGGGATTGATGTGCGCTTTTCAATGAAGCACCTGAGCTCTCCTTTCCCTGCCTTCGGATACGCTATTAACTAAAAGGTTTCCTAACGACTCCTAAATACAACAGATCTATCTTGAATCATCTGAAAATAGGTCTTGATAGGCTTGATTGAGATAGCTCAGCTGTGTAACAATCTTTATTTTAGCTCTCAAACCAATCGCAACCACAACAGTAAGTTTCTTGAAATATAAGGTTGCCCTGCTACAAAGAGACTAAATAGTCAATATGTCAAAAATCTTATTCTCGTGGTTTTAGATTAGTTTCAATGCGATAATAAAGATTATTAATGGACTCAGCTTGATCAACTATCCTTATCAAGAGTTGTTTACATGTTATCCAGAATAAAATGGTTGAATTTAAAAATTTCTGGAGAATTTCTTTATCTTTCGGACAGAATAGGATAGATAAATGATCTTGTCCAGATGCAAAGAAAACGATTTCATTAACCGATTAGTCGTACTGCAAGTCAAAATTCTATGCGGAACGCCTTTAACATTTTTTTTTCAAAAATATTGATCAAAAATTCATCTGATTATCCAATTGATGATCAATAGAATTTTATATCACTTTGTAGCCAAATTATTTCTTTTTCAATGGGTGAAAACTAATGGTTTCTATTTTGCATTATTGAACAAAAATACAAGAGCAATATATTTTTGCTTTTTTGTGTCTATGACATCAAGTATTTAACTTAAATTCAAGTTCTAATTTAAATAGTCGATGCAGTTTCCTATCAAATGCGTTTTTTGCTGAACTAGTATAAATGGTACAGAACCAACTTGAAGAGATATAAAATCCTAAGTAGAGTTAGGAGTCACTGCATGTCCACCGACATTATCTTAATAAAATAAAACATCACAAAATGAAACAAAAAGCGAAACTTATCATAAAATTGCTAAAAAAATGCATTTTTCTTTGTTTTTTGTGATGCTTATAACTTTTCAAGCGGATGTCATGGGAAATGCGACAACTTTTCATTTTACTCCAAATTTTGTACCTTCAAGATGATACTCTTCAAAAAATACTTTTCAAAAAAGTATTGTAGAATCTGAAAAATATCGTTTTGAGCTTTTAAGAAACCTTGCTCTCATAGGCCATCAATGAAACTTTGATATGGAATGCATTTGATAGAGAATCAGCTGCTTAATATTGTATAATATTCGTTGATAAAATCATAGCTTACTTATATAGTCCAAAATCGAGTTTAAATCAAAATAGGAAGGGTGTCCGTGGCGCTACGTACGTCTAACAGATTGTAGTCTTATGTAATGTCTAGTTCGAACTAGTCTAATAATAGAAATATAAGGCAGAAGGTTAGATTCGAACATGCATACAATATATAACTTATCCATTATTTAATCGATTGAACTATACGATCAAGTGAATAACTCCTATATGTCAATAGACATTCTAAGATGCTATTTAATACAGTTTTACTCAGAGGTTTTCAAGCTGCATAGAAATGTTCAGAATAAAAAATACTCGTGTATAAACTTTCATTTATTGCAGATAAAATCTATTACTAATGAAGATAATTATAATATCAACGTCTTCTATTCAAATCTGACTTTTTTTTAAAAATTCAATCTGAAATAGATGTCGCCTATTTTACTTGCAAACAAATGATTCGTATATTTTTCATCAAATGATGTTGTCTATCCATCCACGTATTATTGAAATAGTTGATGCATCCCTCAATCTTTGAGAAATAGAATGTCGGTTATTTTTAACGACAAAGAAAAAAGTCATTTTTATTATGATATCTACTGATATTTAATATGAAACGTTGCTTGGTAGACATGATAATAAACCGTAAATAATGAAGATATAATGAATTTCGAATTATTACCCAACGAGGTTTTACTTGATCTGTTCAATTATTTTAATGGAGTCGATCTTTTTTGGGCATTTTATGGTCTCAATTCACGTTTCAATTTTCTTCTTCACACGCAATGTTCTTTTTATTATTTTAAATTTAATTGTGTATCAAAACGTCATTTTGATATGATATGTCAACGACATTTACCATTCATTGCTAATCGTATTATAGCTCTTAGTCTGTCTGATTATCGAGAAACTCCCGGACAAATTAATCTATTTTTGTCTTATATACCATCATTCAAACAATTCACTAATCTACGATCACTTTCATTATCGAACCTTCGCTCATATCAAACATTATTGAAACTCTTAAACGAATCTCATCATATGAATAACCTTACTCATTTAAACTTTTATTCTTGTTCTTTTCCAAATGAGCAAGTCAATTTTCAATTAATTGCTGACACGATTTGGAGTTTACCAAAACTTACTAATTGCTTTTTTAGCATTATGGAAGAACAAAAGATTTTTCATATGCCAACAGTTGTCTCCTCATCTCTCAAATATGTATCGATCTTTGGAAGTGAACTTCAACGGAATCAAATAAAACGATTATTTGACTATACTCCTCATCTTAAACATCTTTCAACATTGATTAAGTCTGTTAGTGATACTAATTATATAGTATTGCCAGTGCCAACGTTAACTACATTGAATATTTATTTTTTTGATGACCACATCGTTTCGACAATCAATATGTTCTTCCAAGGCATGCCTAATTTATGTCATTTGAGTATCGACATACAGTCTGAACTGATCGATGGTTATCACTGGGAACAAATTATTCGTAATTACTTGCCCAAACTTAAAGCATTTCAACTGAAAATGAAACAAAGATGTTTCCAACAGGAAAATATTCACAAGCGAGTTGATCAATTGATTGATTCATTTCGGAGTTCATTCTGGATTGATGAACATCAATGGTTTGTTCGATGTTTTACACAGAACAGAATTATTCATCTCAACACTCTATCTGACTCGTTTGATTGCTATGAAAGTATTTGTAATGTATGGCGATCGACATATCCACTCGATAATGAAAAAGAATTTTATGATAATATGACTAGCATCTATAATGAGACATTTTTTAGCCGACCGATTCCTTATTACATACGTTTAGCTAATATCAAATCTCTTTATATAAAACTTCCTATCAATAATCAATTTTGGTCTATTGTTCCAAGTTTAAACCGACTACGCTCGCTTACAGTATCATCCCATGATGATGCTTTTCAATCTCAATTGCAAACTTTATTAGATCAAGCACTTCATCTTTACACACTAACTATTCGTCAAGATACATCATTATCTTTACAAATATCATTATTCAAATATATAAATACATCAGTTCGTCGTTTCGATTTGTACGACTGTAATTATTGCTTCAACGAGGAAGAATGTACTACATTGAGTCGTTCACCTCTTGGTACTCAATGTGAAGTTCTTTCCATTCGAGTTAAGAATCGCGAAAGTATCGTTCATCTTATCAAAAATATGCTCAATCTTCGAACATTAATTGTCGAATGTATAGATACAAAGTGTCATCAACGATCAATATTAACAACAAACAATGATGAAATTATTCAATGGTTAAAAAGTCGTTTGCCATTAAAATATTTGATCGTTAGAGATCCAGAAACTGATAATGGTATTTTAATATGGATCTAATAATGAGGAAGAAACATATATGTGCTAATCAATCATAAACAGACATTATTTCATGTGCTTTTATCCAAAACAAAAGAATGGTTTTCTATGTGTTCAACCGAATTCTGGTTTATAAAAATAAAATAATACTCGATTAAAAATTGATATAATTCACTCATTTTTGTACTAGTCATATCTACATCGTAACTTCATCAGGCAAACAATAAGGTAGAAAGTGGAATACATAAATGACATTTGGGTGCATCCATATATACATAGATATTGTGCATCACTGACTCTCAGTTTGTTTATTGAAAAGACAGAGTTGTATTTGATATTATGTATCTTTTTGGGAACGAGTATTTATTTCAATCATATTTCAGTTTATGTTTCTTCTTCTTCTTCTTCTTCTTCTACTAACTATAATGTGCATATATGACACTTATTACCATGAAAGAAGTCTAGATCATTCCGTGATTTGTCGGGCGAAAATAATAAAGTATGTGCTATAGTGAGATTATTTTGAAATCCATCTGAAGTATGTTAAGGGGGACCCCCTCAGAATTGATTTTCCATATAGAATGGACCGTTTGGACTGAAATTTTGGGCGTGTGGCTGTGGCTGTGAGTGGGCGTGTATTTTACTAAAGATGACACACACACCCACACCCATATGCAACATGATTAGTATATTAAATGGAATAATCATTGAATCATTTTTTTAAATTTAATTAAACCATTGAATCCTTTTAAATATATTTTTAGTATGTCAGAAATACATAAGTAAAATAGATGGTCTGTTTTGTTTGTGAAAATAAATTAATAATGAATCGAATTTCAATCAATGAACATCGAACACTATGAACTTGTATGTAAAATGCTATAAATTAATAATGTCTTCAAATGGAAAATGACAAGCTTAAAATAAGTAATTTTCTGAGATATTTTCGAAGAAATCATACAATTAAGATTTATTGTAATAGAATTATCTGATGTTTCAAAAAGGTAATTAATAGTCAATTGAGTAACATTTAGAAACTAATTTAGAGATGATTATTCTGTATTTTATTAGAAATAGAAACATTTTTTTTCTAAAAAAGAATAAATAAAATGAAATAAGAAATAATTTATGATTTAAAAAAGTAATATGACAAGTGTTGTATTCTACTGCTCTTCGATAAAAAGCGGTCGAAAGAAAATATTTCCCCTCTTTCGAATCGTATGAATCATCTTGTTTATTTCATGTTCATAAATCACATATCACAATAGAAAACAGAAACATTCTGAAAATCACAGTTTACGTGTTTCATATTATTTAGAAAATATCAATTCTTGAAACAGGCCATTTTTTGTACAGTTCAACTTAGACTCAAATGAAATTTCATTTACATTGTTGTTTTTTCACCACTGAAGTAGGAAATCAATCCGAGACTCGTCAATGTTTTTCATGCTATCATATTACATATTTCTTTTCTTTTCAGTCGAACAGGCAAAAGACGTTGGAAAGCAATTGAATTCAATGAATAGAATTTTGTTTCTGACTACAAGTGTTTTGTTCGATTTTGACTGTAGTAGTAGTAAATTCATTATCGGAAATAGTTTGTCAACAAGAAGGAAGTCAAAAAAGTGACGACGAACTATTGAAGTTAAGATATGCACAGCACAGCTCGAGTACTCAACCAGGTTTTGGGTGTCAGTATGGGTTATTCTATCTCACACTCACGCCCAAAAAAAAGCAGGAAATCTGACAAACATGTGACTTCACCTATAGAGAAATCTTATGATTTTTTCAGACATATTGACTTAAACTGAAAATGAATTTCAGGCTAAAAAACAGAAATAAATACCAATTGTTGTCTTAGAAACTTATATAAAACAAGTGGTATGCATGTCAAAATACAATTTGCTTTAGATTCATCAAGCCACAGATCAACATTATATTCCCGGTTAAAGTATATAGTGCGATGAGATCATAAATTTAGTAATTAGGAATAAAGTAATATAAAAAAAAAGAACTATATACGTAGTTTTGAAATATATGTACTCCAAAGTGCGTTCGAATGTACAGAAACAAAAAAAAAAGAGAGTCAAGCTAGCGAAAACCATTACTTCAATTAGGGATCTATAGGAATTTTGTTAAAAATTAACAACTACCTTCATCTGCCTGATTTTTCACGAAAATCCTTCAAAAGAAAAGTTATTAGGGTATCATGGAATCTATAGATTTTATAATTCGCTTGATTTTCTTCTTAAAATCAGATAAAAATTTATCTAGTTCATGTACATTTTTTTTTCTTATTCATCTATTTCTTTCGCAGTATTCTGATATACTCCTCCTATATTAGATGAATCAAATTCACTTTTATACAAGTTTATTTAAGTCCTATATTTTGAATGGAATACTACAAAAACAAAGATCTCAGCCTCGTTTGAAGAATATCTACTTTTTCAAGAAAAGCGGTTGTAAACAGGACAGCGTTCCGAAAACATCTCGCTCTTGCAATAAAAGGAGGCTAAAGGAATATATTCAAATGTCTAAGACAAAACGCACTCAAATCGTGTTTTCAAGATGCATTGAAGCAAAAAAAACCGTTTTTTTCTAAATGTTTCAATTGAAATGCTGTTCTATACGATTTTTTTTCTTAGATCCACATTAGCATATAAATTATTGTATTGCATCCATTTAGTAGTATATCATTATGTAAGAAACATTCTTATCAAATTTGATTCGAGCATCTTTACCTCCTAATGTAGATTCATCATGATGTAAGAAAGAATATTACAACTATTATTTAATTATATTACATGCGAATACTACTAAACTTTTCTCAATCAATGGAGTTTTTGATGTTGCATTGAATGAACATGATTAAAAATGTAGAAGTCTCTCGAATAATATCACACATTGTGACACCAAATTGTCAATTGCTAAATCAATGATCGTTCTTCGTGAGAAAGAATAATATTTGAATTACAAATTTTCTATTGAATATATTGTTGCAGAATGAATCTAGGCAAGAGGAAACAGTAAAAGTTAAACATATCTAAAAAAAAAAAAGATCTTTGATGATGATTCTCATAATGTCAAAAATGCTCTTTCCAATGATATATTAAAAGTTAAATTTATTGTAGGTTTTTATGACAAAATATAGCTATTTTTGAAAAAGACTGTATAATTTGTTTGCTCTTGTTATTTGAAACTTTTGCAATAATAAAAATATTTTCTGAATTAGTGTTTTACTGCCAACCATCTATAATATGACTTATTTCAATTATATAATCCACATGGAATTTAGTACTTCTAAAATAATCTTTTGTGTGAAAATTTAATGTTTGTGAAAGTTTTTTCAATAAAGAGTTAAGAATGGATCTGAAATATTTTATCAAATCTGATATCAATTGATATTTTGATGTGTTACATTCTGGTAAAGTTCTTAATTAGAACTCGATTTGTATAGCTCATTCAATTGGAGAAATAGCAATGTTTCATTGTGCAAAGTATTTGAAAAAGTTTCCTTTTAGAAATATTTCATTTTTTGGTTTTTCCTCATTCTTTGATTCATTCTGAAAAAATATATTAGTTCAGATATTACTCTTTTCAATAAAAAACAATTTCATTGGTTGACAAGTTGCTAAGATTGTATGGCAGAATCAGACAGTTTTTTAAAGAATTTCCAAGTTGTTTAAGTAATCAAAATAATTCCAAAAACAACTAAATTTCTTGAAACGATGAACCGTTTTTTTTTCGTATAAAAAGTGTAAGCTTCTTGTAATATTTTTATGAATAGCTCCTTTAGAATGTTCTTTCAAAAATATCTTTTTAAAATTTGTTATCGATACATTTTGTTGTATTGCAATAGTCATATCCAATCATATAATAATACCGCAAAAAAAGAAAAGTTTACTTCAGTTTTGAATCACTCTCATTCTATTACTATTAACAAACCCTTAAGTTTGATAATTAAATGCGTTCATCTAGAAGTTTATTCAATATTTTCATGAAGTAATTATATGCATGAATTGCTGAATAGTTTATTTACAAAAATCTGACTGCAATCGATGTAATACTTTCTAACGAGAAATAACAATTGATTCAGGCAAAATAAAAACGAAACAAATCATACTTTACACAGAAAGATGAGTAGGTAGGTAAGAAAAAGCCATTGGTTTTTTAAAACAAAAGTAATGTTAAAAAATAAATCTATTCTAAGTAGAAATAAGAATAGAAGCAACTTTTATTAGAGCATTGGAAGCTCAACACACAAGGAAGTAAGAGAATATTATTCAAGCAAAAAGTCTACAATTAGAATTATGAGAAAATGTGACAAATAAGACGCATAGCTTTATTACTTCTCTCGGTAATGATGTATGTCGAACTATTTCATTACTTCCTTTGAATAACGCACGCTTCTTCACGAGTCTCATAAAAGAAATGAATATAACGGTTATGAATCGATGAAAACAAGAGTTATAATTACTTTTTGTTTTCATCAATAATAGAAAAGTCCGATCTTTCGACATACATTTAAGTTAGACGTCGTGCAATAAAGAAAGATTCCTCTAGACCGATGACCACCGAAATTAGTATTGGTATTCAATATCGAAATCGATTCATACATTTTATTAAAACTTTGAACCTCTATGATGACGACGATGAGTTGCCTTTAACTGAACAGCTCTTAACTACTCGTGTTTACATTGTGTCTCTTTTGACAAGTTTCTTGATTATACTCTCATTCGTTGGTGTCATCCTCCAAACTCGTGTAATTACTGTCTCTTCATCTTCTCTTAGTGTCTTTGAGAACTTAGCAAATAGTTATATCTATACACTAACTTGTCGCTGCTCTCAAGTGTCTATTTCTTATAATCAATTTTTTTCATTTAATCCACAATTTCATCAAGTTTGTTGGAGTGATTTAATCAGTGAAGAATGGTTTTCGTCTCTGTTCAATGTAACAACAAGTAATTACTATCCTCTGGACTTTCGTCTAATGGCTTCGCACAATTTCAAATTTTATCTGTTCTTTGTCGAGTATCACGTCAGACCGCTTTCGACGCTGTAAATGAATTTTCTGCTTTACTATTTATTTCAATGCGTGCTCTAACACGTAATACATTCAATAGTTATACGGCCACACGTGTCAAACAATTTAATAAAACTACTGTTGCAAATTTTCGTGCAAACCCTGGTAGTGATAACTATGAAACTTTTTCTGGTATCTATCAACAAAGCGTAAATCTAATTCAAACGTCATTTATGTCAAATAAAACATGTCGATGTGATCACACGAGTAATTGTATCTACCCTACTGGCATCTATAATCAATCAAAAGTCATCGTTCCTAATGAAGTCTTTTTACATAATGCATCACTTCTACTTGCTGTACCAGAATTTCAAGTTGGATGTGTACCTCAAAATGCATTGCTTCAATCGACATTAGAATGTTTTTATAATCAATCGTGCTTGGATATGGTCGTTACATTAACTGGCGCTCTTCCTAATGCCTCTGCACTGAATATTTCAAGTTCTTCTTCTCGATTTGATCCACAAACAACTATCAGTTTTATTTTTGATAATCTAATGCTCGAGTGTTGGCATAATTCTACTGATTTCGCTGCCTATTTTCGGGCTTGTGCACCTAAAACTTGTTCGTATTCCTATGAACAATGCTTCTATCTCATTTATATGATAACAGTCGTGGCCAGTCTCTTTGGTGGATTGAGTAAAGTATTGCATGTCACATCCCCATTGCTTGTCAAATGTATTTTACGCTTATGTCGTCAACAGGTTCGAACGTTTGAGGCTGACGAAGGACGTGAATCAAGCACAAGTAAAGTTTATTTCTTCAATAGACTTCTGTTCGTTCTGATTTGTTTTTCTTCATAGACTGCCAAGGTGGTATATGGAATATCGGTAAGCTAGCTTATCAAAAAGCTACCATATTCAATTTGTTCAAGAAAACCTTCACCAATGTCAATCATGGTATTTATTCTACTCGAGTTTATATCATAGTTTTGGCTGTCGGTATTTACATTTTGACCATCTATTCCGCTACAACAATTGTTTCAACAAAAATGACCGTTCAAAATCCAAATGTGAGTCAATTTGAAGAGCTGGATAAAATATATTCATCGATTCTATCATGCCCATGTCATCATTCATCAATGCCACGCTCAACTTTCCTACATTATAAAATACAATTTCATCCAGTTTGTACAAGTAATTTTATTCGTGATGAAGGTTGGCTTCAATATTGGACGATGACATTTCTCATTGGTACTATTGATCCTACTCCTTCTTTTCTAGTCCGATATCTTGAATGCATTTGAAGCGGAGGAATTTTTTTCTTCTACACCAATAACAAGGTCCGAATTCGATAATATTACTGATTTGTGGAAGAATTCTTTCCAAATGCAGGTAAAAAACGATTTAAAAGTTAATTTCACAATATTTATTGTGTTTTTTTGTAATGTAGATTATCACCATGACTTTGAACAAAGTCTATCCTCTGGACACGAGTATTCGACAAAGTGATTTCGTTTCATTCGATTCCCATAATCCTACCCTAATCTCCAAACAGATTGATAACACATTGTACTTATACTATGTTCCAGGTAATATTGCAATGTCAGATTATTGGGCATGCTCTTATGATAGCGAAGGTTTATGCTGGCTACCATTGGGTTTCTATTGCTCTTCAACGTCATGTGTACCAACGGATTCTGATCTTTGCTCACTGGGTTGTCTTTTCAACCCGTCATGTGTTCAGATGCTCATCGACGAACGTCTTTATGGTTATGAGAATTTCTATTTATCAGTTGACTTCAGTAATATAACGGCACTTCAGTCAGAGAACATGTACACTTTTATTCCTGATGATATATTCTATGTTCTCATGGTAAACGCTTTTGTCGATAAATGGATCGATATCGTAGATTATGAATCTTACTATGCTCAATGTCAGCCAGAAATATGTACCTACACCATAGATCAGAAATTGCATCCAATTACTCTTGTTAACACCGTTTTTGGACTCATCGGAGGACTGACTGTTCTATTGAGTCTTCTCATTCCATTATTGATCAAAGTTATTCTTGGAATTTACCATTTGTGTCTTCACCAAACACGAGGTATCAAACTTTATGCTTCAGATATTCAATTATTTAAAATTATTCTAAGCATTCTTGCACGTCGGCGACTGATTGCCTATCTTCGAGATAAGCTTTGTTCCATAAACTTGTATCAAAATAAACCTGAAGCTGAATATCAAATTTTGGCTACGCGTATCTATATTTTTCTTCTCATAATATCTTTCTTGACTATATCAATTTTCATACGATTTCAGCATTGTACACTACTGATCACCGTAAAATCACCAAATGAGACTTATTTCTCATTTCTTCATATTCATTATTCTGATAGTTTATTGTGTTCTTGTACACGAATATCTATTAATTACGAGGATATTATAGAGACTTCAAATAACTTACACGAAATCTGTCATCAACTGATCTACCAGAGTCTATCAACATTTTCATTACCAGAAAACGTTTCATACGATGAATTCATGTTGACTTTTATCGTACCTCAAATGAGATTTCTAAGATTCCGATGTAGTATTGTAGGTTTTGCTTTACAGCAGGCGGCTAATAGTCTTATAAAAAGTTTCATATCAATAGAACCGATGACCTTAGGAACTTTCGATGCATTGCTCAATATGTCACTATCTGAAATGCTTAAACATCCTTTAATCTTCACAAATCATGCCTTGAATTGGATTTCTGATATATTTCAAGCTAATCAATTTCAAAATCAATATATGACAAGCTGGAAAACAGAATATTCGAGCTTCAAAGAAAACTACATTCTTCGTATGCGTCCAGTTTCTTTAATGAACGTTAGTTGTTCTTGTGCAAGTGGCAAGTCAAATTGTACAAAGACGCCTATTTTTTATGATCAGAATGATGAACCAACAATATTACCAGGTAGGTTCTTTAATCAATTTTGCTCTCGTAAGATTCTATCATTTCATAGTGATTTATTGAAGTTTCCAACAATATCTGTAATTAAAACAACTTTACCATTATATTTGATGTCTGATACTTTTAGGCTTTGTAGTGGGATGTTCAATCATGAGTATGGTCTTTATCAATCTACCCTTGAGTTTTTCTATGATGATATTTGTGTGAGTAAATTAAACAGACTTCTACTTGTTTCCTTTACTAAATAGAATCGTGATACAACGCCATTTTCACCGACGACTCCAGTTGGCATGATTTTAGAAGAAAATTTCCTAGGCTCATGGACTTATTCAGCTTCTTATTCAAATTATTTTCAATGATGTGCTCCATCGACATGTCAATATCATCAAACCGAACAAAACAGTGCTGTCTACTTATTTACAACACTGCTTGGATTGTACGGTGGGATTGACTGCATTCTTACAAGTTTTTGTCTGGCATTTGTTACGACTCTGCCGATGCATTATGAGAAGATGTCCATGTTTTTTGAGACATGTACATCCATCGTCCTAGATTTGAATAAATTGACTAGAATATCAGCAATGCTTCATTTTCGATATTGTATATCTTCTTTTGCTTTTTATTCGGTTTGTTTTGCATGCAAAAATGCTTGCTTTTGTGCAATGAAAAAAAACTTATTTTCATATGACATTATTATTTTACTCAATATTTATTCGATATCAATTAATGACTTATTAAATAACGAAATATGATCCAAAGTGTGTGGGTGTGGTTGGCTAGAAGAAAAACACCCACACCCCACACCCTTCTTTCTAAAAAAATCAACAAACGTAAGTAACAGTGATGGTTCAGTCCGAGTCATGACGCAGACTTGAGTCACGCGAGTCAATAATTTTAAAAATTTTGGTTTATTGGCATAAGAACTTACAACATGTAAGATTAAGTTCTCACTTAATCACATATCACTTACAAATTGCATCTATTTTATTCGAAATGTTTTTCAAGAGCTTTTCCCACTGGTGTGGTTCATATGTTTGGAGTAACAGTCTAAGGGTTAGAATTGGCGCTTTAACTTTTTTAAAAGTTAAAGCTAACATAACATGCTTGTGCTTTAAAGATTCAAGCTAAAGTTAAGGTACATTTTTTCACAACAATCTATTTTATAAAAAAAATTATTTTTTTTTCATAAAAAAACTGATTTTATGTGAAAAATTTGACTTTAACTTAAACTTTTTTGTAAACTGAAAATTTCAAGAATTCTTACTATGAATTGAATTTTAAAAGAAGTACTTTACTTTAATTTTAACTAAGTTATTGATCTAATTTTAAAGCTCAAGTGCTATGCCTACTAAATGTACTCTTGAATATATTTATAAAAAGAGGGTGAATCCATGAGTTTTCTACACAATTTGGAAAATGAATTTTTGTCGATTTTGTACACCATCAAGTATGACATCATTGCACTCGAAATTTAAACATTATAGATGAGAACCATCTCTCAAACACACTATGAGCATTTTTTTACATTGTTATTAATCGAAACACTCAGTTGGTTATACAAAGAATCGGTTTAAATAATCTTCATATCCTAATGTACAATACTCATATTGAGAACCATGTAAAATTTCAATATCTATTTAGGGATGTACCAACAACAGCTAAATTTTAAACTTACTACTTTGGTAATGAGAGCTTTCATTTGACGCCAAAAATATCAGGTCTAGCTCAGTTACAATAAAAATATCTTCCTTTTTAGAATAGATATTGACTGCTAGAATTGTCTATAATTCTAGTTAGAGTTAATTCTATTCAGAAATTTCTATGTGCATATATCTTTAAATTAATTATTGCATCTATGCATGTGTATGTGTATGTGCAAATGTTTCGACCAATGTTCCAGAGAATTACATTCCTATACAGATATAAGATGAAGAATTTAACCTGATGAAGGGTGTAGGTGTCAGTATGTGGGTTTAGGTATGGTATAAGTAATCTCTTACATGATTTCCACACCCACACTCTTGAAGATACCTCTATCACTGATAAAAAATCAGTTTATTTGCTCGTTTCGTTATGGAGATACTCAATTTTTTGGGTATCATAACTTTTGCGGTACACTGTTTCTGTCTAAGATTTTGATAAGTAATAAAGTTATTAAACGCTAGAACAGGAGTTGCAGAAGTGTGTTATATATTATTGTTTGATTGAATATTTTAGGAGTTATAATAAAACCTAACGAATAACAACAGTATACACAAGCTTGTTCATAAAGTACAACAGTCGAATTTTGCTCCATTTACGGCTGTATAATCTCCCTCGTGCTGTATATTTTCTAATTTTAGTGAAAATCCACAGATAGCTGTTGATGGAGGACAATATTTCATCTGTTTCCAGTTGCCCCATGGATCACCATTCGATTCGAAAATATTAGATGATTGAGAGCATGCAAATTGACAATCATTTGCAGCTGTATCATCACCTGTTTCTTGAGGTTCTTCAATTTTGAATGAAACACCTTTCAAAAAGTTATTTTTTCCAGGACAACGAACATTGCCACCCCAATCACCCCAAAAACCTTTGTGTGATGTAATTGACTTAACAGGAGTTCCATCTTTCTTTCCACACAATAATTCTAATGCATTCAAAGCAGTATCATCACAATTATCACATGGTTTCTCTACACGTTGCCGAAAACCAATTGCCCACGTATTTGCATCACAATAAACCATATCAGTAAATTCACCCCAAGGACCTGATTCCGGTTCAATCGTTCGAACCACATCATGTCGTTTTTCTGCAATGAAAATAAAGAAAAAATAACTAAAATAATGATCGATTTTTGTGAATAGTGCTATTTGAGAACAAATTATTAAGAACACTACTCGCTTGATGAGATAATTATAACTGATTCTCTTGAAATCAGAATGACTCGGGAGCCTACGGAGATATTATTAAGGGTTCAGGAAAGTCAATGGAACCGAGATAATGGTCAATTTTCATTTTCTAGAAGCTCAAAATTTCCTAAATAATGCGCCAATAGACCTTTGTATGGTTATTTGCTAACAAAACGATTTCGGTTGGTATTGAGTTGGGAGATCTGTGTAAGGACATTTTCTCATTTCTGGTGGTTTTTTCAAGAGCTACTAACCGAGAGCATTCTGAAACTAGCAGCCCAAAGACATCTCGGCTATTACAGCAAGAAATTGCTACAGATGTAAAATTTCTGGATGCTTCCTTCTAAGAATATTCACTTTATAAGTGTTAAAAGTGACCTTTGTTTGTGCTCTCGTTTCTCGAACATAGTACATTCGATTGTGCTTGAAATTTTAGTAGAAATAGAAGACACTTTCTGAGGTACTTATTTCGTGCTTTTCTTGAACGCACAGTTCAGATGAGATAACTCAAATGTGAAATGTATCACAGAAAATGCTGCTTTTTGTAGTTCTCATTTTTTGAAATCTGCTAAAAGGTCATTGAAGGAAAAGTTTTTAATCTATAAAAAGTCGACAGTGTAAATATTAGCTCGTATATATGCATAGATTTCAATTCGATCGCTCGTGCTTTGGTTGGGAAAAAAGGGATGACTCAGCCATTACTCTGTTCAAAACATACTTTTGAATAAAACGCTCACTAAAACAGAATAGCAGTTTTTTATTTATTTTGATTTTTTTCTTTTTTTAGGTATAGTTATCAACTATTACACTTGTAGAGCAATCAGGAGAAAATGTCGTAAGCCCATAGAAGCTTCATGGTAAGGTGAATATTGTAATTTATTCACACAGTTAAGAACTAAGCAATCGTGACCCCTATCTATGGAAATACAAGTGAGTTGAAATAAATGCATCCACATGAGTATATCTCAACAAGCACGAAAGATTTGCCAAGAAAGATTACAAAATCAGAATAGAAATCAAACTGCGTCATCTGATAACCGGTCGACTAATGTATCATTAAACTATTTGATTTTCTCTCTAGCTATCAAAGTAGCTGCATATCCAGGCATCTATTCAAATTCAAATTCCCGAGGACGGTAGTGAATATAAATTACTGATGTATTAGTCTTACTTTTATTGCTGTACAGAAACTTTAAAAGCTCTGTACTTGTATACTATTAGAATCTTCTGAAGCAGAAAAAACAAAGCTCTTTGTTCATTGAACTCTTTCATTTATATCATCATACTTACTACCAACAGTTTTAATTAAAATTGGAATCGGATCGTTCGGCAGTGCGATCCTTAGGCCTAGAGACATGGCAAGCTTCTTGGTTAAAGCAACGCGATTCGTCATGATTCCTTCGACACCCAGATTGATATACTCTCGCATAATTTCTTCTTTGTCTACCGTATAGATGTAATTCATACCATTTTCACCTTGCTTCTTACCAGCCACGGCAGCTTTAATAGCAGTGTAATAAGTCACCACTTTACCACATGACCCAGAACCTGTACCGTACACTCTATTGTGTGTAAATGGGGACAGCTTCTTCATCACGCCCTCATAGTTGTTTCCTTCTTGATCTATCGTGAAGAAATAGCGGTGCGCGTTCCGTGATTATTTTGCTGCTATTGCCGCTGCTTGAACATAAGCAAATGTACTGAATGATGCTGATGAGATAATAACTTTTCCTTTGTAGCCATAACTAAACAAATTTTTGTCTATGAAAGAAATGAGATCTGTTCCTGCTTTAACCAATGTCTGTCCCATACTGGCATAAACTTTGGAGTCCACAAAGTAAAGAGCAATACCAGCATGGCGTGCGATGTTTTGCATATAAGTTGCAGGATTCGCACTAGCTTTGGGACCTGAACATTGATTTTGAAGAGCAACGCAAATGTGATCATTTCTCGTAGCGCAATCGCAATCACAACCAAAACCATGTCCAATAAGAGAGGGCTTCCCGCTACCATCAAAATGAATGTCACATTCGATGGCATTCGCGCCTCGTGTCACTGCCTAGTCGACAGCCGGATTGGTGTTGGCCATGTGTGCAATGATATAGAAGGGATTATTAGTTTTGTGGCCTTGTACTGCACTTAATTCGAGAAAGAATACGAGAAATGTAATCAGAAGCCGTGTCACCAACTGGATTGCCGTCATTCTATGCACCAACAAATTTCCAGCTCAAACTATTAATAGAGTAATAGTAGAAAGATATACACTGTAGAACTATGCGAATATGGAATTCAGTGAGGAAGAAAATTCGAATGAACTTTTTTAGCTAGAGAGAGCTTCTAGAGAATACTTCAGAGATTTCTTATCGTCTAATCTTGTTTAAAGAAAAACATACTATTTGACATAAGCACACTTAGTCATGTCGAATCATAAACAATTTTACTGAAATGATGATTAAAGTATTTTCATAAAACCTAAGAGGTACTCAAGGTGTGAAAAATTAAGTCATGGAAAAGTAAAAAAATAACTAGAACAAAATAATTAGAATTCGAATGTTTTTCGTCTTAGAATTCACTCCATTTTGTTGTTTCTGATAAACAATTCTTTATTTCTTTATTTTATCTTTATTTTTAAAAGATAAAGAAGAGTAGAGGTAAAGTGTCGCTCCTAAGTTAAACGAGAACAGTCCTTCTCTCACAATATGGAACACTTATTTACCATTTCGTACGTTGTTGGAACTTATGAGACCGAACCACTTCAAATGGTTAAAAAATAGGACTGTGAACACTTTTATTTCTAAGGTGGAAATCAAAAATCAGATTGTTAGTACTAACCACGGATTTTTTTAAGAAGTAATTGGCTTTACAGTAGCTAATCTCCGGCATTCATTTCGTAAAGGACTTTGAAACATGTTCGCCATCAGAAGATGACTATCATGTCAGAAAATAACATTATAAATTATTAATGTACTACTTTGGCGCACAAAAGTCTCCTCTATACTTATTACTGCAAACACCTAAAAAGACTACAGTGTCACATGTACATACATTTACTTGTTATATTCATGGAGAATATTACTTGATCAAGACAAGAATACTACTTTAGTATCGACGTTATTCTGTTCTTAAAGTGAAACATAATCTGGTATATATACATATATATTTGAAAAATGCGTTACGTTTCTCGCATCTAATCATATTGTAGAAAATGGCGAGAATAATTTTCCCACACTCTCTGTTTGTTTTTCGCTTGGAAATTAAACCATTGCTATGGTTTTTCTCTCATTCATTGTATGTATAGCAAGGGACTACTTCCACACAAAATAACCCATGAGCATCATAATAAGCTATAAATAATAATGACAATACTATGAAATCATATCTTGTTCTCTTTTCTTCGGAACGTTATACTTTTCTGCTTGTTCTCTCATTCGTCCTTGGTATAGATGTAGGATACCAATTAGAAAAAAAATACATAACAATGTACGCAAATCAATCAATTGCATATGAGCAAAGCGACCTTGTTTTTCTTCGCTGTGGGAAAGTATATCTTTATTTAACTGAGTATTTTGTGTTTTCATTATATATATATATTTACTTTTGTATACTCTGATTTAAAAAGTAAAATGAAATAAAAAGCAAATTCTTTGAACTAATTATAATATTTATATAATAGTTGCGTGTGGTACGAAGAAGACAATAAAAACTAGTGACAATGTAAATAATTGATCAGTCGTAGTAGCACAAATGCGTAGTTTATTTCTAAATTATGAAATATCTCTTTTGAAAAGACATTACTGGATGAACCCCTTCTATCATATCGAAAAACGTCGTGATTATGGATCTTTAGGCAAGTTTGTTCAATTCTGTCTTATCTCTACAATCGTGATATTTTAAGGTTGTTGACAAGGTATTGTTTTCAATAGAATGATATAAAACACTAATCAAAACATTTTCAATTAGAATTTTATCGAATTGCCATAAGTAGCATGATGACGATGGAAGAAAAAGCAAAATTTCATCTTATAGCTAGTCAATTATTACCGATCGCATGAATCGAGAACAAACATACGAGAAAAAGATGGTACCTGGTGGTTAGTTTTTTTTTTCTTTCTGGACAACTATAATAATTCAACACATTAGGCAAATGTGTGATAGATATAAATTACAAAAGGAAAACAACATGTTATGAATTCATAGGACGACATTCGGTTTAATAAGTAAATAAAGAAGACATATTTTACTTACGCAAACGATAGTAACTTCTATGTTTGTTATTCTACCGTGTCATGGCCTAGTTATCTCAAACTATGAGTTAGCTAAACCAGTCTTAATCATACACAGTCGAAATAAGTGTTAGAGTCCTACGTTCAGTTGATACGACGACCACTTCCAAATAACGTTAGCGATCTCTCTCTCTAAATACAAAAATGTTCCAAGATATTTTTACACTATTCTGATTATCATCGCAAAGTATACAATATTTCATCTTAGAGTCATTTTAAAAATTTTTACTTCTAAAATAGCGAAAGGGTGTAGGTGTGTGGGTGTTACTATTTATTTGCATCTTAGTCACACTCCATTTAAAAGAATGAGAGTATTCTTCATATACATGATATACTTTATTTTACAATGATATTTACATTGATTATTGTAGAAAATGAAGAATGTCTTTTGGTGTGGATGTGGATATGGACGAAAGGAAGACTACAAACTGTACCCACATCCACACCCTAATTTCTATGGTCAATATATCTCGAAGAACCTACTACAAAAAGATATTTGTAAATGAGTTCACATTTTTCATGGTTAATGTAGAAAAGCTAACTATTTGTTTTAATGTATTCAAATAATGGGGCGACTAGCCGTGAGTGACGCTGTGGAGGGACGGCGACGAACGACTAGTCGCTAATATTGCAAGCGCACTCTAAATTCACTTCGGAAAAGATCTATGTGAAACCTAGGTTCATTGAGAATACTGCACTAAGATTTCCTTAATCAGAAATTCTAATAAAGGTCTGACTTTTCTGCTAGACAAGTAGGTTGAAGAAATAACGAATAGTTGATAACAAAGTGCCAGTTCTGGATTGCCCATCAAGAATTCTCGTGTTATAGATGTAAGGATTTTTCGAAGTAAGAGCAGCCTGGAATTTGATAAGGTGTAAATCAAAGAGGATGATCTTATGGGAGAATATGATTACACATGGCAGCGGTTAGCCGTGAGTGACTAATCGCTGCACTGGAAAATGCCCTGCGGAAAGGTGTCAAGATGTTAGAATTCATCGGAAAAATGGCAACGATCAAGGTCTGATGGGTTTCAATAGGGACCAGAAGTGGCAAAAAAATAAGAACTATTTTCAAGTTAATTATGAAAACAGTTGTTCTGTACAGGCGCAATATCTGAATCGTACATTAGACGAAAAGCATCACTCAAAGAATTTATATTCACTCTATCAGAAGCAAAATTGAATGAAATAAAATGAATTTTTTGTGTTGGTATGTGTTCTTGTTGGTTTAGAAACTATATTTTCTTAACTATATTGTCAGCTAAAACAGTATATGTTGGCTTTAGATTGTGTCTAAATGTATGAAAAAGAAGAAAGTGATAGTGAATACTGCGACTTTTTTCAATCTTATGAAAATAGTTATGAATTAAGTGACTTTTTTGTGGTTACCACGAAGCATTTTTGGCTATTCATGAATTAAATGCAAAGGATAGGAGTGAATATGCTACTGAAATCGGTCCTCTTTGATAATTATAAGAAAGCTCCGCTAATTTGTACCCGTTCTCTCTATTATTCGAACAGAAATCGGAGCCATTTTTTGTGCATATATAGCTCTTAGTATGCCTTCAAAAGTTGCAAAGACATGCAGATTGGAAATGCTTTGATAACATATTTGAAATCTTCAAGATATCGAAGTGATTTGCACCTTGAAACCTATATGTTTGGTATAGAAATACCATTGTGATTTTATTAAGAGGTGCTGCCCCAGAATTTCAAATATTCGTATCTTTGCGGTTTTTAAAAGCATACTAAAAGCCATCTATGTACAAAGAACGGCACTGGTGTCTTTTGAAATGATGGAGAAAAAGGATAAAAGTTAGCTGAATTTTCTTATAATTTTCAAACAGGGCTGATTTTGCGAGCATATCTATCACCGTTGTTTCATATGATTAAATCTATGATCTGAGGCAATGTATACATAGATGGGCGAGGGTCTTAATCTTGGATATGACAATAAATTGTAATGTATTATTATAGTATGAAAAAACCATATTTTTTAACCTATGCATTTCTTGTGATATGTAACTGCAAAAATAAGCCTAATAGTGTCAAGCTCGATGATCACGAGGTCCATAAGGTAGCTTTAACTTTTGGAACGAAGACTGGTGAAGTGGAAGAGGTAAACCGAGTTCATGGGCTTTCAGGTCATCCAACTTGGCATTATCAGGCTTATTTTGGTAGCGATATGGCACAACAAATGCATATAAACAATAGCGTAAAATGTAGCTGATATAAATGTCATAAAAAGTGCAACAAATTAAAGTATTAAAAGCAAAACATTCAGAAGTGCTTCTTTGTTGAAATCGAAAAAAGGAGTGCTTTTTCGTATTTCAGTCAAAAGTTATAACTTTGAACTGTATTTGTGAAGTTCGTCCGTGCAAATAAAAACTTCACACTGATACATATCATCGAAAAACAAATTAGTTGATTATGTACGATAAATAGTGGAATTCTACGAATTTATTTTCATGTCGGACTTTTGGGACACTCTGTAGGTAAATGAGGCGATATCTTTTATCTAAAATGGGCAATAAACAACTATTGCTTAAGTGCATTAATGTAAAAGGAGTGGCTAGTCACTCATATCGCAAGTATACTGCAGAGTCACCTCATAAAAGATGTGTGTAAAAGCTAGATTTTTTTGACAGTACTGCAGTAACATTTTCTTAATGAGGAATTTCAATAAAACTCTGATTTTCCAGCTAGACAATGAAATTGAAGGAATAAGGAATAGTTCACAACAAAGCTGCGGCTTAGAAATTCTCGTACCAGAGATCTTACGATTTTTCGAAGTAAGCCGAGTCTGGGATTAGGTGGAGTGTAAATAAAAATGGATGGTCTTATGGAGGAATAGAATTAAACGGCGCTAGTACATTTCGTCGCACGACACTTCGTCGCGTTCACTTCGTCGCGATCATTTCGTCGCACGATCACTTCGTCGCATAACACTTCGTCGTACGACATTTTGCCGCAGAACATTTTTTTTCGTTCTGTTTGTCGCAGAACAATTTCTTTCGTTCTGTTCGTTGCAGAATAATTTTTTCTTTCGTTCTGCTTCTTGTATTTCTGTTAATTAGTCCTGTTTTTTTTTTGATAACTAGTCAAAATAAAATAAAGTAAATGAAAAACTCTAAAATATGGGTAAAACAAGGACAGACAATTGATTGCTCTAAAACGTATGACTTGAATTCGGAAAATAGATCAATGAAAGGTCTTAACCAAATGTAATTCTGAGACAGTTAAAGTCAGCAAAAAATAATTATATTTGTCATTATGTTAATGAATTTTAACATTGACTAGATCAACGATAACATTGCCAGGACGCGATGGATCTGACTATCGGATAGCATCAGATCTTATCGGAGTCCTTAGTATTGAATTCTATTGGAATTCTTGGAATACGACGAGTTGACTTTGACCTTGGTACTTATCCAACGCTCTCCAAATTAGTTCTTTAGATTGTTTTTCCCTTTAGATTAGTTTTCTTCTTTTTTCTTTGGTTTTTCTTTTTTCTTGCTTTTTCGTTTCACGTTGTTGATGGTTCTGTTATCAGGCCTCGCAGCCGTACTACTTTCCTGATTTTTTCCTGATTTTTTAAAAATGTCCTGTTTTTCCTGTTTTTGACCGAAAATCCTGATTTTCTCCTGATTTTTCATGATTTATCCCCATAGGGCCTATATCTACTTGATCATGGCATGTTGTATTTTTATCTTAATTAATTTATTTTCAAAATGCATAGAAAAATATTATAGAATATCTTAAACAAAAAAAGATACAATGTATAAATTAATGTTCACTTTAATCATTCATTTTTTCTGCTTTTTTCTCATTCGGTTTAAATTTTCATTATTCTCGATTAATTGAGTTTTCAAAACAGCTAATTTAGCATTAGCAGCTGTTACAAGTACTTCAGCTGTACCAACATCATCAAATGTCTTATTGCTCAAAGCTGTAGCAAGTCTTACACTCCCTTCCTCCAACATTTTAGTTGCATTCATTAATTCTTGTTGTAAATTCTTTTGTTTATTTAACAATTCGATTTCGTTTTCTTCTAATCGTTCATGTTCAGCATCAGAAGCACGTTTTCCATTAACAACATCAATGCTTTTAATTAATTTTTGTTGTTCTTCATTATCTTTTATATAACGTGAATGTGCTTCTTGTACATTCGAAATTAAAGTAGCTGTTGTTGGTACCTTAAAAAAACAATTATCCGATTTCGAATAAATCAAATGTGTATTTACCATATGAACTTTACCACCACCAAAGAATTTAACACCAGCATTTGTAACTCGTAAACCATTGATAGATGCTTCATTTAAAGATGAACGTTCATCCGATACAAGATGATTGTTTTGAGAGAAGCCTCTCTCTACATCACTGTTTCCATGTGATAAAGACAACAAGCATTTGACGAGTTTGGTTAATGTTACATATTGTGGTGTACCAATTGTTGTATGAGTAGAAAAAACATGATACCAATATGTATCAATTGGTACATATTCAACGACGTTGTTCAACGAATTGGTATTTCTTTTAATCCAATCTTCAGGTATATCAGCCATTTCATAAACACGCCATTCAGCACCAACTCGATCTACTTCTTCATTGGTTAATAAATGTGGAAGATTTCGTGCAAGATACATGATACTGGTTCTAGAAGATTGTTCTTTTCGTGCTGAAGGTTGAAGACATTGCAAATGTCGTAAAAAATCATTATTTATTGGTAATGATTTAATCAATTCTTTCTGAAACGTCAAAATAATATCAGATATATATTTTGCATCAATAACTTACTGTTATTGTACAATAGATTTGTCGAACATCTTGAAAAAAGATTACTTTTTCATTAACCGATAAATTGTTGATATACGTTCGAGTACTTTCACCAATATCAATATTTAGATTATTCTTTTGATTGTTTTGCAGATCGAAAGAAACAGACAGTAGTTGAATTCCTTCTTTATCTTTCAAAACTTCTTCTTTAACAAATGACAACAACACATTACGTAATAAGTTGTAACATTCACCATATAGCAAATGTATTAATGGTTGTTCTTGTTGCAACCATACAAGCACTTTTTTAAATAATGTTCGATATAGGAACAGAATAAAATAGAATTTGACAAGAGTGTAATTATCATTTAATATAATTTTGATATTTTTGTATTTTTCATTCGATTCAATCTTCTTATCTGTTGTTGGCAAAAATGTAAGAAAATATTCTTTAATAACATTCCATTGATCGACTACACGCTCAATAACAGAACCTACTTCAATCCATCGAGTGTCAACAAAACGATTAAGAAATCGAGAATAAATTTCATTTATACTATTAGCAACTAATTTAAAATCTTGTCGACGAGCAGCAGAACGAGAAAACCAGAACCACATATCATTAAGTGCTTCATCAATAAACCATGATGTGGATTTAATTCCTTTTCGAAAAGAACCATGAATAACATGTAATGGACATGAACCAATTGAAATAAGACCAAATACTGGTACAGATGAAGATCTATTGAACGATATTCAGTAAAATAAAGATACTAAAAAAATAAAGAATCATTACTTTTTTTTTCTCTCGGTGATTATTTCTTTATTAAGAATTTCTTCTATTGCCTTGTTCACATTTGGATTATCTCTTCCTATTCGAATAAAATATATGTTCTGAGAAAAGGATAAAAAGGACAACATACCAAGCATCAACATTTTTGCAATATCGATTCCATCAGCTTTCAATGAATCAATAATAGATCGAGAAATAATATCAGCAGTAGCATGACCAAGAATGATGCTTTTGTAAAATCGAACACATATACAATTTTTAGCTTCTGACCAATATCGAAAAAAAATATCCAATTGTTTACGAACACCAGCAATAGTTGTTTCATCAAAAAGCAATGAAAACCCATAAGCTTTACGTACATCTTTAATCAATTCATTGGTGAAATAATAACCAGTTCCATGTGAAATAACATAAGATAATTTTCGTTGACGTAATGAATAATCAGCAGCAATTTGACTATCAGGAAACATAGATCGGAAAATTTCTGGTAAAAATTGTGATGAATTAAACGAAAATCCAAGTTGAGCAGTAGCCATTGCCCATATACATTCAGCCTGAGTAACTTCTAAAAGATAAAATAAGCAAGATAGCTCTTTTTTATATAATAATTTTACTAAATTTATTTTTAACGTTTTATTTATAGTGTGTTTACATTAAGTCAGTAAAAAATATTTCAAAAAAAAGTGAACTTCCACTTCAACATTAAATTTATCTATAAAGAAAAGAAAATTCCAGACATCAGTCAATAAAATACACTGCCGTCTATAGTGATCGGTGCATTATTTTATTCTTTCTTCGAAACGTTGCGTCTATGATATAATCAGTACTATGTTTTCTCCTTTTATCTTTTTCTCTATGATAACATTAAAGTATCTAAAACTATTCAATCAAATTTGTTCTCACGTTCTGATGATTTTCCATCTTTTTACACACTAGCTGGTGGAACGAAAAATGCCAAAAAAATAATAAAAAGTAATTGCAAATACTCACTCTCTTCATGTGTTAATACTCTTTTATCACTTTGAATAGTAACAAAAGGAATTCTTGTTGTGTTTCCATTGATGGATACTGTTGCTGTACATACACTATTATCATCTTTATTGTTTGATAAAGGTGGTGATTGATCATTTGATGCAATAAGTGAAACAGAACCAAACACATCCTTCATACATTGAATATGTTTTGGTCGATCAAAATGTCTTTTTATATCAGCCCATCCTCCATTGGCACAGCTGAGATCATCTGTGCGACATACAATGCATTGGAACGAACTGGTAGTTTTACCTTTTTTAAGCCATCGGGAACACACTCTACCAGTATTATCTAATTTTTGCAACCATTTTGAACAAAACGCTGTGTTTTTCGGCATTTGAAAATGTCTAATTGAAGGAGTACATTTTTCAAAATTGAATCGCTATAACATGATTGTTTTATATATGGAGAGAGAATAACAAATTAGAATAAAAGCATCACAATGGAAGAGAACGAAAAGAAATAAATAGTACAGAATGAAAAGTGTGTATATCTGACTAAAAGAATAAGTTTCTACATAATTCATGCTGTTTTAACCAGCTTCAATGTTTACTGCAACAACCTATGTTTTAATGGTAACTAGCCATGACTGTTGCATCCACTTTTACGTAGATTTGACCCCAAAAAGCAATATTAGAATAAAGTTTATAATTCCTGATTTTTATAAAAATTCCTGATTTTTTTAAAAAAATTTCCTGTCTGCTTTCCTGATTTTGGAGCACATGCCGCTGCGACCCCTGTGTTATGCATGATACATAAAATGAAGATGAGTTAAATTGATCAATTTGATGTTTTTAAAAAACATAATTAAGAGGAATGCAATGAACAGAACGAAAGAAATTGTTCTGCGACAAACAGAACGAAAAAAAATGTTCTGCGACAAAATGTCGTACGACGAAGTGTTATGCGACGAAGTGATCGTGCGACGAAGTGAACGCGACGAAGTGTCGTGCGACGAAGTGAGCGGTCACCTGGAAAGCTATTGTTTCATATAGTTGATATGTGCATAAGTACAGTTA